AGCTCTGTTTCGGCAGCACAGTACCGTCAGCTGGACTGGGCGAGGACGGGCCCTCCATTCCCGGTGCCATGTCTTCAGCAGCCCACACCCTGGACATGTGCTAGGGGCCGTCAGGTTTTCCCGTCCCAGATGAAACCTGGCAGCGGCGTATCATTCACAAGGTAGATGAGTGCAGTTGTCTTGAAGGCTGGCCCTGCCCTTTGGTGAAATGTGAGACCCACCAAACCAAGACCACGGTCTAATAGCTGGGACTTGGCGGAGCCCCGGCTTGTCCCGGATACGTGGGCTGAGCTCAACTAGAAAGGATTTTGTAAACAGTTCCTTCCTCTGAATCAGTAATCATCGAGTTTTCAGGTCTTGGAGCAAGACACTCCCAGAGGTGTCTACCCCACCCCACCCCCCCCCCCCCCACACACACACACAAAATCTTGGGCTCTAGCTTTCTGGGTCAGGTCCAGGGACCCTGCGGACATCGGCACTTTTGTACTTTCAAGGCTGTTCTTCCTCACCCCCAGGGACCAATTCCGCGCTTAGACCAGCACCTTCTGGCCACAGTTGGGCAGAGCCACAGGCAGACCGTGTGCCAGTGGGAAGGCAGACTCCTCCCTGGGTTTGCTTTAACACCCTGAGGTAGCCATGAGCTTTGGATCGAACTCCTGTAGGTATGGGCCTTTGTTAGGGTCTCTGGGGTAAGATTCCCTGGGGTTTCCTGGCTCAGCCATCAAGGTCTTTCATCCCCTTGCTAGGCAGAAATTCCTCCTTTAATCCAACTCAGAATGCCTCCCACTCTAAGTCAAATGCATTTCCTCTTGCTGGCCTCAGTGAGATTCCCCGCCCTTGCGCCCTTGCTTTCCTGTCCCCCGTGCCTCAGAGTCCTTCATCCGGGTACAGCATGACTCAGTGCACTGGGCCAGTGAATTGGGTCCTTTTGTAAACCACTTCCTGATTTGTATGAATTGTGTTTTCCTATATCACATTTTCCTAAATCTGCCTATGGCACCTGTCTTACTGGGCTCTGCCTACAGAACTATTTTAAAAGTTAAAATAAGTTACAAACTGCTTTCTCTCTCCCATCCTCACGGAGCCCACCGAGAGGCAGGCAAAGGCAGACCACGCTCACGTGGTACAGATGAGGACCCCGGCAGCCAAGGCGCTTAGCCCGAGGCCCACAGCTGGAAGGTCAGGCATGGGGTCCCACTCAGGTCTTCTGACTCCAAGTCCAGTGCTCCCTTTCTCTGCACCACAGCTGCCTCCCTGAGCATACCAGCTGCCTGGACCCAGAAAGTGCAGGGGACACTGGGGACTGGCAGCTGGGGGCGAGGGAGGAGGAACTTGCCCAGAATTAAACCACTGGTGGGGGTGCTGCCCAGAGTGGCTGGCAGGCATGTGGCCCTGCTCCCCAGAGCGAGCCCACAAATTGCCCACTTAGTGCTCACAGCTTCTGCGAAGAAATGCCAGGGTGTTCGCAAGACGGTGTCCTGTCCTGGGATGGGAGTCGGGGTGTCCCGATTCGTAAATCTCAGCACTGTTTATTCAGCAACACATACCGAGACCCTCTCCCTCTCCGCGTGCACGCGCGCGCACACACACACACACACACACACACCCAGCTGAGCAGTACCCAAGGTACTCTTGCCCGCTGAGGGTGCTGTCCCATCCCCTCTTCCTGCCCCATCCTGGTCTGGGGGACTGTTTCCAGCCCTTCCAAAGGAGGCTCAGTGCCTGGGGAAAGGAACCCTCCACCAAGATCCTTCCCCAAGCATTGCAACTCCGGGGCTGCTTTCTCGGCCTGCCTGCGTCTCGCTCCGGTCACGCCCCTCAGAGGGAAAGGGTCCTCAAATGACTCCCCTTCCGGTGTAGCCAGCCGGTGTTCAGTACGAACTTCCCAAAAGAAGAGGACAACCTTGTCCCTAATGCCCTCCCCCCACCAGACAGAAGGAACAGCTGCTGACAAGTTTGCATGCCAAGTGGCACTCCCCCCTCTTTGCTAAGCAATCAGGGCTGTTTGCTTGCTGTGCATGGGTGTCTGGATGGGCTGTCTAGGGACTTGAACCTGCTTTCTGGAGCCTGGGTCTTCTCCCTACAGAGAGATGAGGAGGGAGTTGTCGGCTGCAGAGTACTGAGGCCTGACATTCCCCCCCCCCCCCCCGCCCCCACCGCACGCATGGAGCCAGCTGCTTGCTACCTGCCAGCTGCGCCCTCTGGCGGGGACCCGAGGCCCGATCTTGCACCCCTGGCAGGGGGAGAGCCACAAGGTGACTTTGAGCAGGGATCAGGCCCTATGAGGAGAGAGTGTGTAGCAATATGGGACTTGGGGTTTCCAAGCTATATTCTCATTGGGTGCCTTCTTCTCAGGGTCATTTGCTGACAGGTGACTGAGCAGGGAGGGGTGTTGTAGGCTAAGAGGGGCTGCTTACTGTGAAATCCCTTCAGACCTCCTGGGCGCATAAGGACTGGGAGAGGTAGCTGGGATGGACAGATCCCACTGGCCCTCTTAGCTCCTAAGCACACAGAGGGGACTGTTTCTGGCCAGCATCCTTCTATGGGCCCGCTACATCCTGTCTCCCAGGCTGCTGCTTCTGGCTGGATCGGTCTCTGGTTGGCTTTCCCTGCTGAAAGGAGCCAAGATCAAAACCCCCTTCTCCCCAGCCCCGAGGTAGGTGGGCCCGTCTACCATCTTCTTGCATCTTCATCTGGCCAGAGGAACAAGAAGCCAAAAAAATCTTTCCATCTTCCACTGTGGGGTCCCTTCTCTAGCTTCTCTTTACCCTGAAATAGAATTGGCTAGTTACTGTGCATAGTGGGGGGTCAGCTGCCTGGGTAGACCCGGAGTCCATTGTCTGAGCTCGCTCCATTTTCCCTAGCCCAAAGCAAAAAAAAAAAAAAAACACCTTAGACCAAGATAATTCTGCCTTTGAATATCTCAGCTTGGTATTTGCCTCCATGAGTGAGAAAGGCCAAATGTTATCTGCAAGTTTAATCTTCTGTATTCAAAATTCCTGCCCCCTTTGTCTGCACGTGCATTCGCAGATCAGCCTTTCACTTGCTCTAAGCCTCTGTCGTTTTTTTTCGTTTTTGTTTTGTTTTGTTTTGTTTTTTTCTCTTGAAGCTGTTTTTTCCATTGCCAGTTGACTCATTTCTCAGCTCCAGCTTCCAAGGGACCTCACCTTCGAGCCTCCTGCCCCAAGGGCACCTGGAGCTATCAGTTTCCCTTTTCTCTGCTCAGTCAAGGGCCAGATGCCACTTGGTTTGATCTCCTTTCTGTCTCCGTCTCCTGCCAGCCTGGCTTGGGCGCGTGGTCAGTCTCTTCCCACCCCGGGCGCACGCCGGTAAAAATCAATGCGCATCTGGTTCTTCGAGGCCTGCCAGAGGTGGGGGGCTGCAAGCACAGGCCCCCGGAGCCAGGCCGTGGCCAAGAGCGGGGCTGCCAATGTTGAAAGCAGCTGGTCACAGGTCAGAGAGGGAAATGCCATGGGAAGCAGAGGGAGAAGACTGTAGTGAGAAGCAGCCTCTTGGAGCCAAAGTCATGGAAATACATAGTGTCCAGATTGTCTCGTTCTTCTGCGTGGGTTAGCTGTAGTCCCAAAGGGGCTGGCCCCAGACTCACCTTCAGCTTTCAAAATCAATGAGAACCTATGTCGGCAATTTAAAAAAAAAAAAAAACAAAACAAAAACCTGTTTTGGAAAAAAAAAAGTTTAAGCGCCTAAGGGGAAATGAAAGATGAGACCAAATTAACCTGGTTGCCGCCGTGGCCCTCCCTCACTGAAGAAGGAATGATGGAATTTGGTGGGGGTGGGCGGCGCTACACCCAAGCAATGTCTTCTCCCGATGCCTCTCCTCACCACCACTCTCAGGATCTGTGGCTGTGAAGGCGCCTCTCTAGAGCACAGGTGCATTCCGAGCTCTTTATCTCAGCCTGGAGTTCATAGGAGGCTGACTAACAGAAAGCAGGCATTTCGGTCAGATATGCTGTAGCTGTAAATGGGTTCAGTCGGTATGCTCTGCATTCACACTTCTTTGTCTTTTTTTTTTTTTTTTTAAACAAAAGGAAAAAAAAGTTTAAACCCCCCCTTTCCTTCTACCGCAGGAGGTGAGTGCGTGGGTGTCCTGTAGAACCATTGGCATTCACCCAGCTTCGGCCCCAGCCTCCAGATTTCGCCATCCCCACCCCACCCCCTCCCTCCATCCCCTGCTCTCCACCCCAGAAGGGGACCTCTCCCCACCATCATTACAGTTACGTTAAGATGCCCAAATTTTCCATGACATATCCCATCCTCCGACCACGTTCAGTAGTGACGACTTTCATACAGGGATCTAAATGGGGGTGGGGGGAGGACGTAGCCAGTGGGGAGGCGGGAAGTGGTTTGGGGGGGGGCAGCTGGAGAATGGAGATCTTTTTTTGTTTTTTCGTTTTTTTTAAACAAATTTGTCATTTAATGGATCCAAAAACAAGAAAAAGCGAAACAAAAAAAAAAAAATTTTAAATCCCTTCCCCAAAGGATTTTTTTTTTTCTCCTGGACACAAATTGCTTTGTTTCCTGTCACGTTTTAATATCAATATTAACACAATGTGTAGTCTAAAACTAGTTCCTTTGTAGTTTGCATGGGATGTGAATGCTGTCTCAACGTGCCCAGATCTAGACAAGACTGCATGAGCACCAATTCAGATGTGAAAACCAATCTCTCTCTCTCTCTTCCTCTCTCTCTTCCATATATATCTCTATTTCTCTTGTGATAATTTGGTGGGCAGTGAAGCACCTCTGGTTGGTTGCTGTAGTGTGTTGAATGATTGTTTTTTTATTCTCTCTATTTTCGGAGCTCCGAGCTTCTTAGTAGTAGCCTGGGCTGAGTATTCTTGAGTCCCTGCTGATGTTTTCGCATGGCCTTGGTTGAGTGTTAGAAGTTGGGCCTCAGCTGTTTTTCTCGAGTGTTTGGCTTGTAATGACCGGTGCATGCCTGGCTTCTGGCCTCATACCCAGCTCTATTCTCTGCACACCAGTCCTGAATAGCTACAGTGCTCAACCGAATTTTGGCGCGCCCGCTTCCCCGGCAGGCTCCAACCCCGCGCGGCCCGGAGGCTTCCCGGGGGCCAACAGCCCAGGACCTGTCGCCGATCTGTATGGCCCTGCCAGCCAGGACTCCGGAGTGGGGAATTACATAAGTGCAGCCAGCCCACAACCGGGCTCAGGCTTCGGCCACGGCATAGCTGTAAGTACCTCCCACCCCTCCCCTCCCGCCATCTCCTTTCCCGCCTGTCTCCCATGGGAGAGTGTGCCAGAAGAGCCCAGGGTTGGGGGCTGAGGAGAGGACAGTGGGTCCCACGCCACTCCCATCCCCTTCTGCTAGCCACCTGGGGCTGAAGCTCCGCTGTTTGGATTTTTCCTGAGCAACCTGCGTGCGGCCGTGTGATGATGGAGTGGAAGGAGCCTGAGCAGGTCAAGTTCAGATCCCCACTCCATCACCTTTAGCGCGTGCAACCTTGAGCCCCTTATGTAATCCGTCAGAACTTCACTGCCCCGGCTGCAAAACGACAATTAAGTATGCCTCCCTCAAAAGATGGTGTGAGAATTAATGGAAATAGGGTACGTCACCTGCTAGCACATAACAGGCCCTCAGGATGGGCCCCCCTGCTTGACCCCTGCCTTTGGGAGGCAGCCATGTAGGCTGGGACTTGAGGGGCTGGGGGACCCTCCCATCTCCACCTCAGAATAGCAGCCTTGGTCAGTCGAGTCCCCGGGCCTGAGGTCCAGAGGTAGCACTTGGCCCCGGGACCCAGTGTGGGGTTCTCGCTTCCTCCCGGGCGGTTTCCTCTGCTAATGTTTCTTACAGTTTCCAGGTTCCAAGTAAGTTCCCATTTGCGTTCTTTAGCCGCAGCCCCGCGGAGGCCAGATGCATTTGATATTTGTAATGCTCTGTGGTTCTATAATCTGACTAATCCAGGCAATGGAAATTTGCTTAACAGATTTGCATGCTGTTTTCAGATTGTATTGTTCTTCCCCCTCCTGGTGTGTGTGAGCATGAATGTGCCTGAGCCCACTCGCTCCATGTTCCTTCCATTTGGGAAACGGAAATTCGGCCACCCTCCATTCTAGTCAACCTCAGCATTTTGTAGGTGGTTTGGTTTGGGGGCTAAAATGGGAGTGTCTGCTGTTCCAGGTCCCGTCCCGGCCAGGTGAACCCTGCCTCAGGGGTTCACCTGGAGAGAACAGAGCAAGTACAGACAGTGTGGGGCACTGGCTCCCTGCCTACTCCCCTCCCCAGCACCGGACGCCATGCGCATGCACACACACACACACACACACACACACGCAAGAATGCACACCTACAGTCTAACATGCACGTGTGCTCTCTTTCACGTACTGTCTTACACACGCATGTACACACACACACACACGCACGTGGCCATCACCCCTGGCCGGTGCAATCTGGGTCCTTGCTCTATTCCATTCCCAAACCAGTATCACTGAAGTCAGGAGTCCGATGAGTCAGATCCCCGCAGGTGAACTCCAGCACCGAGTCCGCGGTAGCAGTATTCCGTTTCAGGCTGCCCCGTTTGGGAGACCGTCTGTCACCACCCAGAGCACGACTCGCTTCCATTCACAGCGCCTGGAAACACAGACCCGATTTGTTCTTGAAAACCTGGGTCTCTTGACCTGTGGGCCGTGGCGCTTTTCTGAAATGACCACACGTGGCATCACATTTTGTCTGCGCTGGGCTTGCTCTCTCCCCAGCTGGAGCTGTCGGGACTGTGGGCAGAGACACTGGGATCTTTGCCCTCCAGGGTCAGGGGCAGCAGCGCCCAGCATTTTGGGCCGAGGCCTCCCTTTGCCCTCAGCCACCACCCCCCTGGTGCACCTGGCTCTCAATTACCCCCTGGGCAAGCAGACGGGCTTGGGTTAGGGTGTGGGAGCCCCTTGGGGCGCAGTGTCTCAGAATTACATATTCATGCTGGCAACCACGGTCTAGTCCTAGAGATAATTTCCTTTCCCGGAATATGACAATCTGTTCCCGTGTATAGCGTGCTGATGACCTTAACAATTGTGCAATTTTAGGGACCTTTGATTGCAACGGCCTTTACAAATGGATACCATTGAGCAGGTGCTTCTGTTGCCAGCCCACTCTGAGGTACTACCTTCTCTGCCCTGTGTCCCCGCCCTGCCGGGCACATCGCACCTGTGTGCGCCCCGGCATGCAAGTATGCACAGGCCCTGGCCTCATCACGCTGGTGCCTCTCTCTCCTCCTCCCCGACCCCTTGGCAGTGGGGTGGGGGCCAAAAATCCAGTCTTTTACTCTCTCATCCCTTTCTCCAGCTGTAATCATGATCCCTACCTATTTTGTTTTTTTTTCTTGATTTGATTCTTTTGATCCCTTATCTTCTTCCCCACCCCCCTCATCTCTCTCTGTCTTGAAATTACGATCAAGATTGTAGGAAACTGGAAGGTGATCTCGTGCTAGATCTGTCCCAGGGGGACAGAGGTAGGAGAACCCCAGGCTTCAGCCAAGCCAGGGGATCAGGGCCAACCCCTCCAGGGTCCCGCAAGATGGCCTTTCAGGTCCCTGGACACTTTCGGTCCCCCAACGCTCTCTGGCTTTGGCTCCTGGGATTTATGCAGTCATACAGCCAGACTCCATCTTTTAGTGAAAAGAAAACATTTTTGCCAGTAACTACTGAGTAATTATCCAGATTACCGCACGAAAAGCAAATTAAATTAACGACATCACCTGCGTAACATGGATTTGGATCCCTGCCAGTTTCCTAACCTTTTAAACTGAGCTCAAGTTAATTAAACATTTTTTTTTAAATCACTTTGATGGGGATATGGAAGGGGCGGAGTGGAGGAGAAGGGGAGGCTGGGACAGTCAGTGAGGGAGCCTCTTGCCACAGTCTCATTGGAAAATAAGTATCTGTTGCTCTTGGGAAGAACCCCAAGAAGGTAGAGGGGTTCTCTCGTGAAAGCTGAGTGCATACTGTGTTAGCGCGTTAGCCTGGGGGCTTGAAACGTGGGTCTGTCTCTCTGGAAGGGAGAGGGTGACAGCTGAGGCTGGGCCTGGGTTCCCACTGGGGCAGAGCGTGCTCTCCCCCACCCACCCCGGGAGCTGGGACAGAGGAGAAGTGAGGCTGGAGACAGACTTGCCACTTTGGTTTGCAGTTAATGGGACAGCTCTCTCACAGAGGGGGGTCACTCTAAGCCCCAAGTCAGCCAGGACTTTCGAGCGTGGGCCCAGTGGAGAGGACCAGATTGAGTTGAGTTCCATAGATCTCTCTTGGATTTCTCTACTGTTGCTGCTAAGGAATCAGCTCAACTAATGCAACTGCCTCTCTTAACCAAATAAAGCCCGTGTGTGATTCTCCCCACCCCTCACCTCCACTTCCCTTCGAGCACTGACCCCAGCCATTGCTGGCCAGAGCCAGAGGCCACTAACAGTTTGAAGGAGAGCTACTCACTACTAATTAAGCTGGGTTTGGGAGCCCAGGGGAAGTAAGGTTCCTTTGAGCAAAGGGGACTGAACTCCCCAAGAACTCTGGGGATTGGAGGTGGTTCCAGCCCTTTGTGGAGTCAGATGAGGAGGGGATGGAACAGGTACCAGGCACAGCAGGTCCCCCGCAAGGTCAGACCCCGAGGCTGCCCTGCCCCGCCGCCCTGGCGCTCTTCCTCCCCTGGAAATGAGGGTGGGGTAGGGCTTCCCACCACAGCCTGCCCTCCCTTCCACAGCCACTGTAGGAGCCGGGGGAGGGCAAGGCACCCACCCCATCCTCCTCATCCAGCTCTAGGACCTGGTTCCCACAGAAGGGATATCACATTTGAGAGATTGATAGTAGCACCCCACCCCCAAAATGGGATCACATGTTCGAACCGAAACACGCAATTTGTCCATAACCGAGGTTTCCTTCTCTGACATTTAGTGCCCTTCACAAAGGAGGCGCCCAGGCTTGATTCAGGGAGACTCAGCAAGTCTGTGTGAGTCGCCGGCCTCTCTTTGTTTACTGTAACCAAAGCTGGTTATTTGTTGCATATGTTTTCCTGACTTCAAGCCCTTGATATGAGATATAATTTTTTTAGGTTTTTTTAATTTGCATTTTCAGTTATTGGCAGTCATTGACAGTATTTGATAAAGCAGCTTTTTTAAACATTTGGCTTTGAAGACCAGAAGTTTAACCAGAATTTTAAAAAAACAAAACAAAATCCCTTGTCAGTTTGCAATTCACCAGTGGAGCCGAACACCCAGCATGGCCACATCTGCTGACCACATTTCCTGCCACTGCCCACCCCCAAGAATTCAACAGTGCTGTAGCAAGTCAGCGGAATAGCAAATCAGCAAAAATGAGTGGCAGGGCTGTCCGCTCCCCAGTGTCAGGCGTGGCGAAGATGCCCGATTTTCCAAGCAGTGATCCCAGGAAGCTGTTAGCCCCACCGTTTCCAGTCATGAGTTCAGCAGCCTGTTGTAGTTCTACCCTGAAAGCACTAGTTAAAAAGTTGGACTAAATAGTACGTCTGCCTGACACATCTTCTCTCTCCTCCCGCTTCCCACTTTATGTTCTCCTCTGGGCATCCGTGACCTTCCGCACCCTGCAGAGCATACCTGGATGTCCAGGCAAGACTGGGCGAAGTTTCTGAGTGGCCCTTTGTTTAGGTGATGTCATCAGACCTGGACCCCCACCAGCCTCACTCCCCATCCCAACCAGAGATGGCTCACTTCGGATCGAGGGTTGACTACATCTCATCATCTCACGAATCTGCTGTAATATAAGACAACAGCTTTTAAATGTGTATATAACCCATGATTTTTGGTTTTGTTTTGTTTTGTTTTTTCTTGATGGTTTCCCATCCTCTTCTCTCCCCCACCCCCGCCCCGCCCCTTCTCCTTTTAAATCTCTTTGAATCACATTTGGTAGTGATTTTGACTTAGTCCAGTAGTCATATAGCTTTAATATCTAGTTAAAAGCTAACCATAGTATAATTGTTATATTAAGGTATTATTTTTTTCTTAAAAAGATTTTTTTTCTTTTTGCTTGTTTTGATTCTGTTCTCACTTTTAAAGGATGCTGAGATGGTAATATTACTCTCAATATTTTGGTACCAATTCTGAGACTGTATGGCTTTTCCGGTGGAGCGCGTACACCCGCGGAAGCAAAGTTGTGGAGCGGGAGGTGGGCATCAACTTTCTCCTTTGCGTCGTATAAGAAGTGAGATGTAGTAGGCTAATTAACAGACTCTATAGCGGTTCTTTTTTGTGACGTCTCTTTGTTAACCTAAGTATATCTATTTTCGGCAATAAGGTAAGGACGACCATGTTTTGAGTGTCCTCCTTTTCTATAAGTGCTTTTTTTCTGTTGAAAGAGGTGATATTATAAGGTTTTTTGAAATTGTGAATTCTAAAAAAAAAAAAAGAAGCGTTGTAAATACAATTCCATTAACTACATAGAAACTATTAAGAAAGAGAGAATCAAAAAATATTTTTGTGAGGGAGTCGGTCCCAGGCAGTTCGATGCTCTGTGGAAGGAGGAGGGGAAGGCATGATAACCCAGTCAGTTCCCAGGAGGAAGGACACCCCCGTTGCCAGGACGACCCCCGGGAAAAGTTAGAACACTGTTTAGCTCCTTCTGTCTGTGTGATAGACCTAAGAACTGTATTAGTGTCATACCAGCATATTAACCTCTCGTCTGTGCACAGCTTCAAATGTTACCGTCTAGTTAGATTTTTATTTAAAATATGAAAAACTGCTTTTCCCAAGACGTTTTTTAAAAACAAAGCTACAATTTTAATATTTAACATATTTAAAGTTTCAAAGCACACCTGTTTGGCTTGGGTGGGGAGGGGGTGGGGGGACATTCTTTTTCAGTCTTAATTTTTAAATATTTGATCATTTTCTATTGTCCAACCATTTCAGCACCTCCAAAGGTCCCTAGGACACTTAGCCTCTCTTTGCTTCCCTGCCCCCCACTGCCCCCCCAAGCCCCGGGGAGCGGGGGAGGGGGGCCCTCGGGCCAGGGGCCGATAAGCCTGCATTAATGAAACCTTTTCTCCATTCACTTCCTATTTACAAATTAGGAGAGCAACCTTTTTTGGTTTATATATTTTTTTTAATACCTCAGTGCTGCAAGTATCACCAGAGAGGCTATGGAAGAATTTTTTTTTTAATTTATTGTAGATGTAAACAGAATTTTAAAAATAAAAAAAGTATAAACATCGCTGCACTGTGACTGGTGGGAAAAACTGACAGTTTCCTGTTTGCACATGTTTAACATTTGGCTGTTATAATATATGGTCCTCGGTTGGGGAAAGATACTTATGATGAAGGATATTTTTTAATTTAACTTTTTTTTAATATTGGTAATAGGTCGGCAACAGCAACTCTAGAAGTACAACTCAGTAGATGGCATTAAAACATATTGTAGTGTGGATATATATTTTTTTCTTTTTTAAAATGTGATATTGATGTTTTATTAATATTTTTTAAATTGTTACGTTTATAAATTTGGTACTTAAGGCACAGCCAGTATGAGACACTGAATGCGACATTTATTATAAAAAGCTGCTGCACTCCTATTTTTATAAATTTTACTAACAAGGTAGACTAATGTAGACTTTCACAGACGTGGTAGGGCAAAAGCATCTTCAAACAAAAGGCTCCAAAATGCTAACTCAGAAAGAAAGAAAAAAAGCCTTTTTCAATTCTAATTAAACAGCAACAACATTTAAAAAAAAAAAATCTGTTTTTCCGATTAAATGTTAGGTTGTTTGGTGAGGGGTTTATTGTTTTGGTTTTTTTTTTTTTTTCTTTTTTTATTTCCAAACAACCAAGTTGACTAAAATGCTGGGCGCTTTTAAAATATCAAAACTTGTTCGAGGGATAAAATAACAAAATAGAGAAGTTTTATTAAAAAAAGAGAAAAAAGACCATAAATTCCCAGAAATTCAGTGTCTAGACTAGGGAATTTAATTACTCTTTTGTCCATGTTGGTGATGTACTGTAGGACCCTTCCTTTCTCTGCACCCCCATCACCTCATAGAAGACTCTTTGTTGATCACTGTCTGTTAATAATGTATAAAATGGCTATCTTGTAAGCGTGCTGTCCTCGTACTAGTGTAGTGACTTTTTTTCTTCTCTTTCTTCTAGTACATATTGATAGGTATAACGTAATTAAGGTTTAAAAAAATTAGACATAGTTATTCAGATTTAGGACCAGTAAGGATAGAACTTTCTCTTATTTATGGAAAAAAAAAATTGCTAATAATTTGGGGGCAGGTTTTTCCTTTCGATTATTTTTTTTTCAACTTATTTTATTTTTGCTGATCTGATGTGGTTTCAACTAACCCAAGGTCTCATGATGTTCAAATGCCGGCAGACTCCGCGGCGTTTTGTAGATTCCCACCCCCCCCAACTGTGAAGGGGTGTGCCATACTACCTTAAATGCTAATGCTAGATATGCAAAACTGGATTTTTTTAATTTATTTTTTAAAAGAGGGAGGCATGGTATATTAAAATGATTTTACTAAGAGAAAAAATATTTTTTTAAGAATGCTCAGAAGAAATTGATAATCTGTGTGAATATGTTTTAGATGTTTATAATACCTTTTGAAGAGACCCAGTAGCCCATAGCACAAATCTCGTGGAAATCTGATATGTTTTAATGTGGCTACCTAGGTTAAGGTTCACGTTAGTCCCCCCACTCATCTAGAAGTCCATTTTGAAAGATTTTTGTAAATTATTTTAGCACTGATGTTCAGCCTTGTCTTTGTTTCAGTTAAGCTCAATGGCGACCATGGGAACCACCTTTTCGCCTTCCCCGGGGGAGAAACCCTCTTGGCTGATGGCTTTTCCCCCCCGGAATCACTAAATAGCCACCGGGTGACTTTCTGGCTTCCAGATCCATCTGCCTGGGACCCCCGAACTCCTCTCCTCCCAAGCAGAGGGGAGTGAGTGGCATTAGCTCCCGGACCCATTCTTGGTTCTACCTGGACCTGGAGCTGACGGGGACGGCCAAGCCTTTGGTCCCCTCCCCAGGAGCTTTCTCAGCCCTGGTTTGTGGCCTTCCTCACACCCATTGGGAAAACCAAACAGCCTCGTGTTCTATCCCAGTCGCTCATTGGCTTAATTCAAACGAAATCCCGACAGGCCTTTTTATGTTTCTCTCCTTCATAACCGTCATCCTAATTTGAATCTGTAGCTTGGACTTTAAGGTAGCATGGCTCTATTGCTGTCCATTTCCTGTTTCACTGCACAGCAATTCACAGCCAGTGAATGTTACACACATCTTGCTAGACTAGTCTAAAAATCATTGGGTAATTGTTGGTTCTAATGACCTGAAAGGTGTTCAGTTTTTGTTTTCAGGTGGTTTTTTTGGGGGGTTTGGTTTTGGTTTTTTGTTTTAGGGTTTTTTGTTTTGTTTTGTGTTTGACAAGGGGGGGTTCTTTTTCATTTGGGAGATTTTGGAAAAAAAAATTGTTTTTTCGTTCCAAATAGAAAAACAAAACCTATTTTGATCTTTAGTGCAAACGAGGGCTAGGGACTTAGCCACCACCACACCACACTGCTTCATCCTGCCGTTCGCTCACTGCAGCATAATCAAGAATAAAGCAATATAGTTTACTACATTTTTTATTGAAGGTCAGCCATGCTTTCTGTATTATATTGCATATGAAATTGTTTACAAAAGAAACACTAACTCATACTTCTCTTTATCGGTTGGGAGTGGCACGCAGAGACAGAGGGAGACTGTGCCGGGGGGGTAGGGGTGCGGGGCAGAATTTTCTTCCTTCAGTGTGTTTCAACAAGCCGGGCTACCTTCCAAGGAAGATAAAAGTGGGGGGCAGGGGGAGGCAGAGGGCCGGAGGCTGGCAAGCACACTGAAGAGAGACACTGGTGGGCTCCTCTGCCCTCCCCTAAGCAGAAAAGCAGCAGAATCAGCTCAGCCTGGTCCTGGGCACAGACACTACACAAGGAGACGCTGTACGTTAAGCAATACTTTAATACTGTAATATGTTTGTTTTCTTTCTTTCTTTCTTTCTTTTAACCAAAAAGTAAGTAAACTCAAAAAATATATATATAAATAAAACCCACCCCTCTGGGGAAGCAACCTTAACTCAAATACTTGGCTATCAAATAATCAGAATGTATTGTCTCAGACAGGACTTCATTTCTGGGAGGCAGGGGCGCGAGGGGGGAGGGGGAGGGGGTCTGAGAGCCAAAAGTTCCAGAGCCTCCCTAGAAGGCTCTCAGCTACTGTATTCTGTACATACTGCACCATCCTGTGTGGAATCTGTGAGTGTCCTCTCGAGTGGCGTGGGCTAGCCAATCTGCCGTTCATGGTGTATTGTAAACGCGGAATTCCATATGTAATAGGATGCAAGTCTAAGCGTTTCATGTGGACATAAATGTATCTAAATAAAACTTTCCCTAGCACTGTGGCTGACCTCACCCTTACTTTTATACTTTAGTATGAAACTGATGACAACTTTGGTAGTGAGTATTTTTTTTATATATATACATATATATGTATCTATCTATCTATATATCGCAAGCATCTTTCAGGTCTTTGTGTGTGGCTTTCTTAAAGCCCTGTTGTAAAAAATTACTATGTGGATGGCAGTCTCTCACATCACAGATGTGGAAAGTATAATTTTATATTTGTATTTTCAAATAAATAAGTTTGTGAAAGGTTTCCATCCTCTACTGTGGTCCAGAAATCAATGTGTTTGTCTGACAAAAAAAAAAAAAATAAAATACAATAAACTGTTTTGAACAGAGTTGTCTGGTGTTCTTTCACTTACAGGGGAGGGCTGGGGGGGGGGGGTCCCTGTTGCTTGGTTTGTGGGGGGAAAGTGTCCCCAGTCATACCTGCGTCCCCTTACCTCTCAGTGCCGGTGCTGGCCGCAGCACCTCCAGTGGAGAAGAAGCCCTTCCACTGTGGAACATGTTTATGAAGAGACAAGAGAGTGTCGAAGGAGCTAAGTGGCTCTCCAGGTTGCTAGCCTCTGCAATCAACAGCCTGCAGGAGAAAGCACAGAACCAATTCCATGACCCTTGAGTAGGAGTCTGAAAGGGTATGAGGAAGCCCAGCCTTGATCCTCAAGTTCAAAGTCTTGCTTAATGAAGAGAATTTTGTGGGATCACAAAATGAAAGGTGTAGAAACAGACCATCTATGACACTTCTGCCTTCTATCAAATCACTGAGAGAAAAGAAAAGAACTGAGACACAGTTCATTGGGGGGCAAGCGCCAAGGCTTGGTGGTAGCAGTCAAGACATGGTCTGAACCACAGGGTTCCATGGGTTTTAAGCTCTGGAGATAGGGATGAAGCTTCCTGTAACTGCTTCCTCAGAGCATTAGGTGGAGCCCTCAGAACATGGCCACCTTGGGCCCCCTCCTCCAATGTCCTGTCTTCCACTTA